CTTGCACTTGCGTCACGAAGTTGATGCTTCGTGGTAGATGTGGGGTGACGCAAAACGCGTCGATCAATATGTCCGCAGTTTTCAGTTTCGGTGGAACAACCGAGGAAATTTGCTTGAGGCGTTGGCCCGAACGTGGCCGCAAGTGTAAAGAAAATACACCTGCAAAACGCGTGTGCGCCAAAAAAGAGTGCACTTTCTGCCCTTCCCCAATCTAAATTCCACCTTACAAGTGCTGACCCTTGTGAAAAATGGGATGAAAGCACATATGATCCAAACTCTCCCAAATGAAAAATGCAAAAAATGGGGGGTTTTGAGTATTGTCCACTTTGGCAATGTGCGAATCGCACAGGGTCACCATTAGCGGCGGTACCTTGTTTTTTCTTGGTCTTTTGTAAAGGAAGACCTGTTTGGTGCTTTTCCAACCCCGCGAAAGATCCACGGTAGGGTCCGCAGAATCTGTTCGTTTTGCACATCTATTGGAGACCCCTTCCAGCACAGATCGATCTATATTTTCTCTTATGATACCCTGCTCCTTAGGAACATGCTTGGTGTGGGTGCGCGAAAGATTGGCAAAAAGCATCGTTAGGGTGAACAATGGCCATTCCTGGGAAAAGGCATCTTGATCGGCCAGCAGATACAGACAGACCTTCCTTCTCTCTCGATTTTTTTTAAATATGTGCTTTATCTTTGGACCGTAGACCGTCGACGTTTGTTTATTTTTTACTCCTCCCTGTTCCCTCAAGCAACCTGTCTTCCGTTGTTCATCGTTTTTCCATCCTTTTCCCATTGGACCAAAACGATCTCTCCAGGAGAGATGGAGGTGAACCCAGAGATGGGATTTGTGGTTTTGACCTTCAACGTGGATGTGGAGGTGGGATCCTGAAAGCTACCTTGGGGCAGAGTGGCAGAGCTCGAATTGGTCTGGCTGATGTCCCCAAAATCGCTTGGCAAATGAGCACAACCAATGGTAGCTCCAGCAGGTGGGCTTTTGGTTACTAGTAGTTTCTTGCTACTAGTAGTAATGCCAGGAGCTACTAGTAGCGTCCTTGCTCCTAGTAGCCATGCCCTTTGTTACTAGTAGTTTCTTGTTCCTGCGGCTTCGTGAGGTGGGAAGCGGCTTCTTCCATCTCCTGGTGAGGTCAGACACGCCAACTATCCGCTGGGAGCCTCTGCCGTAGCTGCCGAATTCGGAGAAAAAAGATGAAAAAAGATGTGATCGTATGAAGACGACACTTGGTGAGGTCATACGATAAAAAAACAAAAACGCTTGTGATCGTATGTGACATGTGTTTGTAACAAAAGAAGCAATGTGTGACTCTTTGGAGCAATGTCGCTGGAGTACAGGGTTTTAAAGTCGGAGGAGGTGTTTTCCAAGAAAGTTTGCTC